TTCTTTGCAATTAAGGATCCCAGAGAAGCATACAAAATTCAGCTCAGAGCGACCACTACCATGAGCGAGTTTTAGGAAAACCTGTAATTAGGAAGATGTTCCTCACCTCGTCACCAAACATCCAACAAGAAACCATAACACACTGCTACGGAACAACAATGAACATCGTGCGGTTGGGGTGTATTGAGAGAGCGCTTAACGATCAAGGATAAAATTACTACTTGGTGAAATCATGATCATAAAGATTTTCATCTGATAACACTCTGCTAACACCCAAATTTACACAGGCGGAATGTCAGTAACCGACTTACCGTTTCGATTGGCAGTCTGTTTCGAATCGATCACAACTCGGCTTGAAGTTCGAGCAGCGAAATTCCATACGACACACTCATAGACACCATTATGAATAGTCGAAAAATGCCGAATAAACAACGTCCCATTCGGATACGTCTGAGCGTCCATTGATGTGTGTGCTACTGGCTCACCATTCTGCAATCAAACAGCAATTTAAATCGCCTACGTTTCGCAGCTCTGTAAAAAGGCAATAAACAAAAGCAGTCCAAGCAGCAGATCAGATTGCGAATAAAACTTTCCAAGCCCACTTGGCCCACTCGGCCTTTTCTCATCATTTTTCAGGTTTTACACAGAATAGAAGCGGTTACCGAATTTCAATTTAACGTGCTTGAAAAAGGAGAAGAAAGGGAGCGAAAGTGCACTTTTCCAGGGCCCTAGGGAGAGAACAGGCTGAAGAAATCCAAGGGAAAAAGTTGTAGTTAGAAATTGAGCATTACCCTCATCTTACCGTAACTACTTTCACAATTCGTTTCATCACACATCGAGAGTAAGCTGGGTCATGAACAAAAATATACAGTAAGGTGACTAGTTAGATAAATAAACACAGGGTAAATAAGGTCAAAACAGACATATTAAATTAGGAAATGAACAACAAGCCAATATTAAATGAAAACATGACTTATGACAATCATAGACTTTCGCGATTTTCTCTAACAGACAACCTAAGGTGGGGCTTTCTGGTGTTCCAAATCAGGGTTTAGAATACTGAGGCACGTACTAGCACTACTCAAGGTAATCAGGTAAAGCTCACCAAAAGCCAGTTGATGGACGGTTGTGGTACTGCGTTCGGCAACGGACACACCAGCATTACTTGTTCACCGAGAAGTGGATGTTCTGGCTGAAATCAGATTTCATCAGACACACTATCATGCTTACACTGCTGGCACCCGATCTCGCTAAGCAATTTGCCACACGATGAAAGATTGAGATTGATCATTGACACATGAGAATTTTAGGCTGTGATTAGACAGTTGTTCTGTATGAAAAACCGTGTGTCCTACGTCAAAGAGCTGGCTTTTAGTCGAGCGCCGGGAGCTTACGAGTTTCAGGGAGCATTCGCAATAGACGATGCTTAACACCAAATCCCTATTCGGTAAGTTAGACATTGACGGTGAGCGACTTCGACAGCGTTCATGCACAGCACATTCTGATGTCTGAAAGTCTTTTGACTCTGATCGGACCCACTTCAGGTAGAGCTCGCTGGTTCAACTTCTCTTCAGGAGGATAGAGGTGCCTGAATGCACATGTAGTCTACCGTTGCACAAGCTAGTACCTTTTCTACCAGAAAAGTCTGGTACCAATAACCCGACCCCGCAGAAATAAGAGTCCCGTTCCCTGATTGGGCGGCATCGAAACGGGATTAAATCCCCGAACCGCGCATATGATAATGCGCTACTTGACTCTATCATATCATTACCGCCCCTGTGTAGTACGTTTCACGCTCAATGAAGGAAAGTTGTGGAAACGCTCCAGTTCTCCTCACTCACATTCCATTGACTGGAAGCCCATGTTATTCACTGTTTGTTAAGCAAAAATATCAAAAAAGTCACTACTCACCACAACTTTTATATATCTGTCGGATGGTATCTCGTCCACATAAGCGACTTTCAACGAGAATAGCTCACCAGCGACACCAGAAACTGCATGGCGGCACCAATACAAACCTTCGTCATCTGTAAAAAAAAACAATAAGTAACACTGTGATGGAAGTAAGATAAAGCTCTTTTCCTCATCATTTGCTACGCAGATTGCCAGGAAGAACAATTCAATTGCAAACGCTCACCTTTGGATATATTGCTCATTATGAGAAATCCGACTTCAGGTACTGGCTGTTCAGCAGTATAAGTTCGATTTTCGAATATTGCATTTGTATTGCTGAAAAAAAAA